TGCCTGACTTAAGGTTAAAATCTACAGCTTTGTTATTTCAAGTGACTTGCTGCATGTTAGGAATGGAATTAGAGCCAAGATTAGCTACTCAGTTGAGTTTATTTTTGGTAGTTTTTTCTAATACATAAATGTGATTTGAATTTGAAATGTAGAGCTAAAGTGGAGGGTTGCTTTTTTCCTAATGTGGCCAGTGCTATGTTAGGTACAAATGTGTTCATGGTTGTTTGCTGGGTTTTTCGGGGGGTTTTGGGTGTGTTTTTAGGGGTAGTCCCCTGCTGCTTTTGCAGTACCAGTAACAGTGTAATGCTGATGGTAAAACTGACTTTCCTGATGTTCCCCCCTTTATTTTTTTCTGTGTATACTTAGGAAGGAATTTTCTTCAAGATAATGGTAAAGTAGTCTAAAAATCTTGAAATCATGAGTTAATGGAGCAATTAGAGTTGGGATATCCCAGCCTACTTTGAAAAGAAAATTGAATACTTAAACCTCTGAATTTTATGCAAGCTGATAGTGGGAGTGTAGGCTTCAGTTCTGCAAATGGCTTCATTCAAGTGGAAAACTTGTAGGTCGGAATTAACTGTTAGTATATCTTCCCAGTTATATCAAGTTCTCTTTTCCTCACAATGCTATGAGTGTGCGATAAGCAGAACAGTGAGTTCTTAAAGTTTAATCCTAGAGCAGAGAGCTGGATAATCCAAGTTTACAGCTGGATCAGACCAAAACAAGCACTGAGCATCTCTGCCTCCAAAATGCACTGTGCTCTTGGAACTGCATTTCCCTGTGCATCGAGGCAGTTGTGTAACCTTCGCAGGGCAGTTCTGTTTAACCAGTTCTGTTACAAATGCTAGGCTATTCTGTAAAGAGTTAATCAAAATGAAGGAGAGGTTGTCCTCTAATTCTGTGTCTCTTCAAGATCTATTCAGCAGCATGTGCTGCTATTTTTACGAATTGAATCTGTTGCCAGTCCACAGAACACATGCCTCAGAGTGAAGCATGAGAGCGTTAAGCATTATGAAAGTAACTAAGCTCATTAGTGGCAAGGGAGGGCTTTGCTGTATTAACTGTGATGTTGTAATATCTCTGTCTAATTAGCTCTTCTACTAATTAGATTTAGAGCAATTAAAGCTTTAAAGACTTCTGAGAAGTTTTTTGAAAGGGCTGTAGATTTCAGGTACATGACTTTCTCTTGTGGAAGGAGCATCGTGGTGCGTGCTCACGGGTGTCAGTGACTGACTTAGATTAGTTTCCAATTAATTATTGAAGGCTGTACATAGTCTATCACTGTTACCACTGTCCTAGTACTGTATGTGTAACTTCTCTGAAGATCTGGGTGTTCTGCAAAGACTGGCAGCCATTTGGTGTTCAGTTCAAAAAAGAAGACATGCACACGTAGTGCTCTCATGTGGAGAGACTATATTTTTCTTGGTTTAAAATAAACCATTCTGATTGAAAGCATCTGCTTTTTCTTTTGCATAACAAAAATGTTTTCCAAAATTGAAGTCTTCTAAAGTGTAAGTCTTTGCAGTCTCCTGCAGAGATTTTTTTTTTTAATCCAAAAACCAGCAGTTTAATTTATAAAAATGTGTTGTGCTTAGAAACTATCAGAATGAAAACTTACTCGTGATCTTTCAGATTCATGGAGAACCTCTAGCAAATTGGTACTGCAGCTCTCTTATTTTCCTTAAAGAGCTGTAAAATTTTAACTTTGGGTTTCTGTCCTATCTTGAGTATAGATTAAATGTTAAAGCTCAAAATATACAATGAATTGGTTAAATCAGACTAGTTTAAAACCTATTGACTGTGTCTGTCAGTATCTCTTCAGTAGCTTGGTCATTCTGAAGCTTTAGTGCTATGAGAGTTGAGTGGAGTACCTCAGAATGAAGATCCCATCTTTGGGTTTGAATGCTCAGTAACAGAGCTGTAGTTTCTAGTAAGAGATGAAATACTTCTCTTGCTTTTTGGAAAAGGGCAGGGGCTCTGCTTGTGGCAAGACTTGTCGTTAGCTTTGTTAGATACTGAGCCAGAATTATGTGGTTGGTGTTGTTATTTCTGTGCTTGTCACACTAGGGAGATGAGCAAGCAGGAACTTTAAGAAATGTCATTACTTTTGTAGTATGCCTGGAGGGTCCCATTTAGATGGAGAGCGCACGGACAGAATGTCTCGGTCATCAGCAAGCTGCTGAGAGCATCTTTTTCTTTTGTGCTTAACACGGATGTCTTTTCTTCACTTGCTTTGGAAGAGAGAGGGTCAAAAACCTGTGTGTGGATGGCTTCCCAGTGTGGAAGAGTCCTGCAGCATGTTTAGGGATTCACGCACTCTTGCCAAGAGCTCACAAAGAGCTGTGGGCTCTTCAGCTGAGCTTAAGCCAACAAATCTGCAGCTTTAGTCCAGGCTAGCTATTGATTTACAATGAGCTTTTTAGGTAAGGTACCCAGATACATGCTGTAGGCGAAATCTGTATGTGATGATGGGATAAGAGTGAAAAGCTGTCATGGGAGCTGTTACAGCACAGATTGATCATATACTTTAAAAATATAATAATGTCTTTGTGTATTAGAAGCAATGCTATTTCTTAGACTCTTCAGTTTATTTTCTTACTGAAACATTCAAATGAGGAATTGATGTGTAGTTTGGACGAGAGTGTTTCTTAACGTACATTTGCCATAGATAATTTTTCCTCTCACACACATGTAATTATTTGTTAAATGCTCATCATTGCTGAAAGATGCAGCTTCATCCTAGAAGTTGCTGTTAAATTTTGACCAGGCTGATGCTCTGTCTCCTGTGTACCAGGTTCCAGTGACTTCTGGACTTTACTGTGAAAGTTAGAGTGAGTTAAAGGATAACACTCTTGGCACAATTACTACCTGTGTGTGTAACACTTTGGAGAGTTGGTTTAGCAGCATGATGAAGAGAAATAAATACTCTCTGTCTTCGCTTTGCCATCTCTAGAGCAGGGAGAGTTGAGGAGCAGTAGAGAGGGCAGAAGCTGCTGAAGGTTTTTCTACAGGGCACTGTTAGATGAGCATCTGGATCTCCTGGGTCTAGGGCTAACCATCTGGTAGGTTGTTCAGCTCCTAAAACACTGGAGGCTTATTTACTTTATTTTTGTTCATTATGGAAATTATCTCTGTAATAGGGAGTATTTTCGAAGCAAGCGCTCAAGCTGCTGGAAAAAAACACTACTGATGGTCAGTGAAAGTGTTCTTTTTTGCCTCAATTTTCTGAAAGGACTACGTATTATGATAAGTATTTCTAAGTGAATGTGAATCAGAGTAGAATAGTTAAATGTACTGTGCACTGACCTTCTCAGCTTTGAAGTAAGCTTAATAGAAGAAATCTGTAATGAATGATTCCAGGAATATTCCTTGGCATTGCAGAACCGAATTTGAGACTTTTGGTTAGAGAGAAGTACTTGATGTCTGCATTGTTACGTGGTATTTTGTCTGCGATCTTGATGTTGCTCAGCAAACCAACTGGGGGGAAAGAAAGGCTTCGCTTGATTTCAGTGGCTCTTGTGCCTCCACCTTCTGGAAGCTGGTAGCAAATAATTTAAAATCAGCTTACTGAGTTAATTAACTGGAAAGCAAATGTGTTCCAAAGTGTGTGTTTTGACCCTCGTTAAAGGATGTCATCAGGATTTTTTTTTTTAGTTATTCCAAAACACAGAGTCTAGGGAGCAAATAATTGGGATGAAAATTCTCTTTAAGCCAAAACTGCCTCTTTCATTGTCTCTGCAGAATGTGTCAGACTGAAGTCAGCCAGGAGGTTAGCTGGTTTAACTGCACTGTGGGCATACTGTTGTAAAGTAATAGAGTAAAACCGTAATGTTCCAGATAACATCTTCTGTCCCAGTACCATCTGAGTGTTCTTGGCATATGTTTCCAGAGGTGAAGAGCTATACTTGAACGTCTGAGAGGGCAGTGGTCCACCACAGGTAGTGTGCTGAAGGCTGTGCTTTCAAAGAGAATAAACTGCCTTGTATCAGGCCTGCTGGTGAGAAAATGTAGAAGGGAAGGAGAGAGAGATGGAGGGCAGGATTTCAGAAAAGTATGGCTGGGATTTGGTCTCCCTCTCTTGGTTTTTGGGTGGTGTTTTCATTGTGCTGTTCCCTAGCTGGCAGTATTATAATGTGGATCAAGTTATTGTGTTGGTTCATCAGAGATGATCTGGAACATAATGGGTCAATTGGTTGCAGGCAGAACCAGGAGCTGTGAGCAAAAGCTTTGTAGCCTGTTGTCACTTAGTTTTTCAGAATAGCCTTTATCTGGGAAATTAACTCTTCCCTGGCCCTTGTCCCTTTTCAGGTTGCCGCTGCTCCCTGGTGGTTGCCTGTGAAGGGAGCCAACTGGAAGCACCCTGAGGGCCCTGACTCTAGTATCTCCAACAGGTAAGCACTAAATGGCCCTTCAGTGATAACACACAGTGCTTGTAAACATACCTGTAAACTTTCACTGGGAATGGAGGTGCAAGAAAGGGTTTTTAATTAGTAACCTGCTTGCTGCTGCTTCTGCGACTGTTTTCATATCTTCTAGTGTGTTGCATGCAATATTCAGTTGGTCAATGATGTAGTACTATTTCATAAAGGTTTATAAGCACTTTTCACCCAAGGGAAAAAAAGATGATACTGAAATGTGCTTCAGTGCGTTTTTTATTCTCATTTATATATCAGCAGTGAAACCCCTCTTGAGAGGGTCAGTAACTTTAGACCATTCAGTGAAGATCTGGTTTTGGAGAGGAAGACTAAATACCAGCTGCATGTGTACACTGGGAGTCCCTGTAGCATGTCCTCCATCTGGGATTTGGAGGCCTATCTCTCTGGCAGCACATGACTGGAGAGTTTTGTGCTTTTTAATGTATTCTGACCTTGTGGGCCAATTATTGCAAAAAATCAGTTGTGACTATCTAGAAGCTCTATATGCTTTAGAAAACTGTACATTTTCTTAACAGCCTATAGTTAGTGCCATGCTTTGCTAGCATGAACCCTGGAACTTGCTGATCCATGGCTTTATGCAATCTCCATTCAGAAGTGGAATGAATTTTATGCCTAGAAAATCAAAAGGCTTCATTATTCTCAGGTGCTTTTCATGGATACTGCAGAACTAGCCCTGGGCTGCACATGTTGAAAGCTATTGTTCACTTACATATATTGCTGTACACTTGCCTGGATGTGACTGTCTTCATTTGGGACCTCTTACATTGCAAGTCTTTCCCTTGCTAGGCAAGTGCCAATGGAGTTGGCATTAGCTGCCTTTATCAACTAGTTAAAGTTTCAAAACTGCTGTTTGATGTAAAGTCAGATTCTCTAGCCTGGATCTAGTAGATGCTGACTGTTTTTGAGTCCTTTAAGGACAGGGCTATGTTAGTGTAACATCTGATGGCTGAACTGCTTAGTAACAAGTCCGCTGTCTGTTCTCCAAGGGCAATGAAAGAATTATCTGAGGCAAAAATAGAGATAATATCAGGAGGCGTTGTTAGGGGGAGACAGAAATTTAGGTCACAGTCAGCAGATAAGAGTTGGAAACCTGCCATGCAAATCTAGTCATGTATCTAGTATGGTGCAAACCCAGCCTAGTACAACTGCTGGGGAACTTGCCATGTGGAAGTAGCCCAGTGGGCCAACAGGCATATGCTGGCTAGTTATAGGAGGCAGGAAAGACAAGTCAATAGGAAGTCCTCTGCATCTGTCTTCTGGACCAGTGCCCTCAGCTCTGGAAGTATCTTGGTCTATTAGAGGCTTGGATGGGAAGAATAAATATGCATTTGTTTCTTTTTTTCTTTTTTTCTTTTTTTTTGAATATGCATTTGTTTATTTCTTTCTTTTTTTCTTTTTTTTTTTTCCTGGAAAAAGAGACTAGAATTGTAAGGGAAATCCTGGAACCAAACCAAAGGAAAGATGAGAGCTTTTGTTTAAACTGTGGACCTGCTTGAAACACCCACAGAAAAATACTTTTTTGTTAAATGTCTGCAGTTCAGTGTTTCCTGGATTGGGTACTGCAAAAGATGATGTGGCTAAGAGTAAGGACTCCCCATCTTGCCTCTCCCTCAAAAACCCCACAGCTAACAGTGAGGAAAGAACCTGCAGCTAAGAGCAGAGCACACCAGGAAGCAAAGAGCACTCACCATTAGATTGCAATGTCAATTTTCCTATTGAGAATCCTGGCTTCTTGTTAAGATACTGTTAAACTAGCCAAGCAAGGAGTCGTAATGCTGCAGGCTTTTGGTGTCTTCCTTTGAGTCTCTGAGCACCTATGTTTCCACAAAAGCCAGTGTATTGATAGTTCTTCACTGTCTCTGGGTGCAGCAGGTTTCTGAGGTGAGACCATGAGAAAGCACAACCCACAGGTTCCTTTAACTGTAGAGACCTCTATGTAAAAGCACAATGAGACAAATTAATCTTTTTCTCTTTCTTGTTTTTCTCTGATGGCTGCATTTCCCTTCCAGCATCTTGCTGTCTTTCTTTAAATAGCTTATTTTCTGTGAAAGTAATTGGATCCCTTGTCCAATTGTAACTGAACTGTGAATGTCCTCAGTCCTGTGTGGCCATCTCTCAAAGAGTTTCATGAAGTGCTTGTGCTGTATAGCTGTGAGATTGCCTGGTTCTGCTGATGATGTTGTCCTGTTTATTTTGTTCCCCAGAATGGATCATCCAGTTCTTCATGTTTCCTGGAATGATGCTGTGGCATTCTGCACATGGGCAGGGAAACGATTACCAACTGAGGCTGAATGGGAATACAGCTGTCGAGGGGGCCTTGAGAATAGGTACCTGTCACAAATGTGGCCCTGATAAATGTATAAAACTGGTACTTACTAGATAAGGAAGAGTTGTGTGGGGTTTTTATTACCCTTGGTGTCTTTTTCTTGAGTAGTATGTACATCTGTGGTAAATAAAACACTGACTTACTCTGAACAAGTGAAGTGAATTTCCCTAAATACATAAATGGGATATTGTAATCTGAACGCTGTGACGGGAGGAGAATGCAGAGAGCCCAAGAGAGCAGGAGATGTGACAAAATGCCAAGAGACAGGACTGCTGCTATTGTAGGACATGAGAGGTATAGCAAAGGACCTTAGTGCCAACGCAGGAAGAGTTGCAAAGGAGCCTAAGACGTGAGTAACTACAGCTGTAAGGCCACTGGCTCCACATGTTATCTGGCTGTGGGCTTGGGGAGGAGGCGAAGACAAAGTGAATAATAGGCTTCTGTCTTCTCCATCCTGTGTCCTGGACTATGCATGGGGCAGTGCTGCCTTTCCCTCCGTGTAGAAACTGTCCTCCTAGAACCCTTGCTCTCCTTGAAAGCCTGCTTGATGTTGGTACAAATGGAACTGGAACACAAACAGTTCTTGGGGGGGAGGTGTCTCTTTTTTTTATTTAAAAAAAAAGTGTTTGACAACTGTTCTTCTGTATGTTTTTTAATAGACTTTTCCCATGGGGCAACAAGCTTCAGCCAAAAGGTCAACATTATGCCAATATCTGGCAGGGAGTGTTCCCAACTAATAACACTGCAGAAGATGGATACAAAGGAACTGCGCCTGTAAGTGTGTCTCAAAGTGAATTAATCATATGGAAATGAACTTAATCTTCCTAAAATTGAGGTCTGTGTTCAACACAATGGACCATGGCTGTTTTCCATTCCTTTCACTTTTAGATTTTTGAAGTTACAGTATATTTCACTGCAGGCTTGAGTATCACCAAGGGACACTTTGTAAAAGCTAATTGAAAAGTAAAGATAACTTTCATTTTAACTTTTAGTTCCTCTTAAACTGACCTCTTTTCCCCCTTTCTAGTCAGTTTATAGTCACATGCTGAAATACTTTCTGCCTGCACTTCTGGCATGACAATTTTTTGAACTTTAATTTTTTGGGTAGATGTTCCTGAAGCACAAAAAATCATGCAGTAGTTTAAAAGAAATGAAACTTCCCTTTTTGGAAAGGTTGAGTCTGTCTAGTATGGGAAACAATGGAGTGAAATTCTAAAGACAATCAAAAATGTGAATGAATTATTAAATGGTAGTTTAAGTCCAAAAGGTTTCATCAGTAGACAAGTCTATGTATGCATGAGTTAACAGCCACCCTTGCTTTTCTTTGGGAAGGGGAATCTGGAAGTTGTAAGCATGCGCATGGAGGTCAGATCACTAATGCTATGCTCAGGTCTGTGTCTGTTGGTTGAACAGTGCCTCTCTTTAGACGATCAGTCTCCAGAACCGGTGAGAAGATGCCATGTGCTGTAGTGGAAATGTGGTGCTGAGAACATTGAGGATGATAACAGTTCATTCTGTTTTATTTAAATGGAGTATGTAAAAGTGTTGGTTCTGCATGACTAATTTGGTGTCTGCTGTTGAGATATGAAAATCTTCAGCAGACAGGTCTTCAGGATAGAAGACCTTATTTCATGTTGAGTGGTTTACAGAACTGGCACTTGTGTTCCATGTCTTGTACAGGTCACTGCATTTCCTCCAAATGGATATGGCTTGTACAACATTGTAGGAAATGCCTGGGAATGGACGTCTGACTGGTGGGCTGTTCATCATTCAACAGATGAAGTTCATAACCCTGTGAGTATTTTATTGGCATCACATGAAATACTGAATTCCCTTTTGCTACTCTGATCTGGTTGCTGTTTGAAAACATGCTGTTCTTTGCTCACCTCTGCTGTGTCTGGGGTGGGATGGGTTGTGTTGGTAAGTATCACACCAGAAATCATCAACACTGGAATTGTAGGGCTGTAGTGCAATTTTTTTAATTTGTTTTTGTTGGACAGGTGCTCACAACTGGTTAGTAGTTGAGTACTTCCAAACTGGCAGCAGATTATGTAAACCAAGAATTTGCCAATGCAGGAATGAAAAAAAAAAAAAAAGGAGGAGGAGGAAGGAAGGGGTGTTTTGTTCATTTGTGTTGCTACAAGTTGTACTATTTTTTCTTTTTTTTTTCCTCCTAGTAGAAAACAAACAATAATGAGTTATCTTTATGGCTTCTAATAGCTTGTTTAAAACTCAATGTGCAATAAAGCTGAAGTTTGAGGAGAAGTAGCTTACTAGGCTTTGAGAGGTTAATCTTTGTTCTCCTTTGTGGCCCACAGAGAAAGAGGGTAAGCTTTGTATGTGGGGTTTCTCTAGCAGTTTCCCTCAGCAGATTCAAGTTCTAGTATTGCATGTCCTTCTCATTTATCCAGGATGACTAAATCTGAGAAATGCACTGCTCTGGTCTCACAGAGCCTGTTTTGTTCAGACACAGTTATCTGTAATGAGAAAACCTCACAAGGCAGGAGCTATCTGTTTGCTGCAGGATCTGAGTATCCCCATGCTGTGGTCTCTTATGATGTATAGTCTTTCTTTGGTATGCCAGACATAATCGGAGACCTTTCTGGGAAGTCAGCAATTGGAAGTAGCTTAAGGAATTTGCTGAACTTTTGTTGCTGTTCTGTACGTTGCAGAGGCTGGCATTCTGCTGTTTTTCCAGGACCATGTGTCTAGCAAGAGAACTAGGACTTGTCTTGGGGTCTAGATTGCTCTACATCTGTCCTAGTAGTTCCATCACTGATGGAGCATCTGCAGACCTCCTCACCCAGACCAATCGTGTTGGCCAATTTCAAGTTACCTGTATCCCAGTAAGACTCCACAAGTCTCTCTAGTGACTTCAGCTGTGTGTTGGACAGGGCACTGCAGACGTCTTCCCAAGTAACTGAAATACTTGGGATTGTAGGGTTTTTTTTTTCCTGTTTGTTTTAAAATAGGATGCACTATTCTGTAACTTAAATTGGTAGGCAATCTTAGTGGATGGCTAAAGAGCCTCCTTCTCCTTTGGGACCTTTGGCCATGTTGTATCTCCATCTACTACCCTTTTCACATATTGCACAAATAATTCATATGATGTGACTTGAATATTTCATGCTAGTCAAAATTTTCTGCCAGTTTCTGTAATTCAGCAATAATGGAAAGCAAGATTGCATGAATTCTGTCTTGAATGTATAAACACACCTGTCTCTTTCCAACATTGACTCACGGCTTGCATCCATATACAGCTGAAATTTATACAGAACTTAACACTTTGCATTCAAACTGATTCTTTAGACTCTTTTTTTTTCTTGTTTGCGTACTGATTCATTAGGAAAGAAACATCTGCTGTCTTGTAATTCTGTTTCCATTCTGGTGAGTTTTTATATGCAATTAAGGATATTTTTTTTTCTGTACTTTATGAATGGAAACAAGGCCAGTTTAAGAGCAATATTTCTAAAGATGAAACCTTGAGTAGCTAGCAGAAAGTAAATTTGGATGAAAGTGAAGAACAATAAAACCACCAAACTTTCCCTTGTCAGGGTAGAGGATTGATTTGATTGTAGCCTTGTCAGTCAGGGTAGGAGGGGGAGAGTGAGCAAGGCTGAGCTTTGAGCTTTCCATTCCAGGCTGCATGGTCACCATGGTTTGCACCAGGGAAGCTTCTGCTTTAGTCCCTCACGAGTGAAGGAAGCTTCACCTCTGTGCCTGGAACTGGGCACTGGTATCTGCATGTGCTGTCCCCATTAACTGGGGCAGTGGGAAAGGACCCCTTGCCTGCCCACACCCCTTCAAACAGCATGTGTGTCCCTGGGGGAGAATGCAGGTCTGGCAGCTCGGAGCATGGTGCAGCTGTCCCTGTTCTGTTCATCTGTGTGTCGGTCTGATGGCTCCTTTGGTTGTGGCAGCTTGTTTGTACAGTGACCTCGAGGTACAGCTCTCCTGAAGTCATCTTGCCTAGCGAGAAGTGGCAATGCTGGGAAACAAATATAGAGTAACTGGGCCAGGTCTGGAGAATAAAAACACTTTTGGTGGTGCGTATATATAGAATTTAAAAGTCGCACATCTCGGGTCTGTTGCACCTAGATATGTTCTAGAGGTTTTTGTTTGTTTTTGTCTGTAGGTGAGCATAAGGTTATGTGCATTTTGTTTAAATTATATCTCTTAAAGGCTCTGTGTCATCACTGGCAAAGTCTTAGACTTTTTTTCCTGTAAGATGACTGGCTTTTGTAGGTGAAAGGCATGAAATGGATAATTTATGTGGATGTTGTGTGGTGATAATGGAAAGAATCTCCAGGAGTCTTCATCCAAAATGTAGCTTTCAGCTAATCCATTCCCTGCCATTGGTGCTCATTAACTTCATCTTATTTTCTTTGAAAAGAAAAATATATTTCTCTGTCTGTGTCAGCCTTTGTCCAAGTTGCACAAAATCCAGCTAGAATTGTGTATTTTGCTGAACTACAGCTACTGTGGTACAATGCTTAAGAAAAAAGGATTGGTTTTTTTCAAGTATTGCAGTGGTGCACCTTCATTAGAACGACTTAGCTCAATGACACGCTTTTGTCTTTACAATGTCAGTGCAGCAGTTCTTCCGCGTTGAATTAGGGCGATGGTGAGAGTCAAGCATCCTGTGACTTTGCTGTCTTAAGTGGCTATGAGTTTGCTTAGGTTTTTAAATTCAGCACAAACATTTTGCAGACATTTCAGAAAGTATTTAAAAATTGGGTGTTAACAATGATGCTTTTAGGTTTTTCCAGCTGGAAACTAACTGTGAGAAGCTAGGGTCTGAGGCAGAGCACTTCAAAGTGAATTCCAAGGGGTTTTTCTGATTAATAATGGAACTGAATGTCATAATATGAAAAGGTGTCCCAAAATAGCCAGGCTGCAGTATCTTTTGAGACATTAAAAATGATTACCACCACATCTATCAGAGCCAATCTCTTAAGTCTCTCCAGAGTACAGGCCAGCATAACCTATATATAGGATGTGTTCTTTCTCCCTAAAAGACTAGGAATTCTAACTGAGGGTCAGAGCTTAGTGAAAGGTTTTTTTAACATATTTAGTTCAATATCTGAAATCTTCAAAGCAGTTTTCTAGTACTGGAGAGATTTTGGGTATATTGTGGACTGTTCACAAGGAATGTATGGAATTTTGCACATAGATTTTTATTTTTAATAATTGATAGCTTACATTCACAAATAATTACCAAGAACAAAAATAAACTGGGACACCTGAAAGTGCTTTTCAAGTTGTTTGCTGCTTTAAGGTATTAGGTTTAAATTATGTTCCAGCAATGGAACAAACAATGTTCTTCCTCTTCTTTGCCAGGTAAAGAATTATCTATGAGGAGGATAATGTTTTGTAATAGATTCCATTAGTGGAGAATACAGTGTCAGATTTTTGCAGGTGGTAAAGCGCTTCAGTGCTGTAATGCTGCGTCAACAGCTGGAGGGTTCAATTTAACTTGTTCTTTGTTACCAAATACCCTTTGATGCTCAATTTTTGCCCGGCAGAAGATATTGGAGTTAATAAAAAGAGTTTATGCAATTACAATTTTCTTTTGTCCACATGCTGCTTCATTATGTTATGCCTGTATAACTACTGAAACATACGATAGTCTTATGGCTGGACAATAAACCTAGTCCTAAATTAGCATGCTTCTCTTAGTTTATAAAAGTTACTTTGGAGCTAATAGCAAAGATTGCTGCTCCATATTTGCATTACAATTTTTAATGGGAAATCCTGCTCAACAGCTCCATTGTTCTCTGTTTTGTCTTGTTCTCGTGTAGCTTTTTTTAAGTCAGTTTTATTCTGGCTGGCTCTACCCTGGCTTCCCTTAAAATGAGATTAACAGGCTGTTCGAGTTGATTGTGCTTATTAGTGGCTTATTTTGGAGTGGGGCTCAGTGCGTCTTTATGCAAGTTTTGTCAAGACAATTTCCAGAGACCTTGGAAATGGAGTAAGCCTGTCCAATGGAGGAGCCCCCTGGCTCGGAAACGAGCGGACACTGCTTGTAGGTGTGGTTCTCCTTGAGTATTTGTAGGGTATTAAATGCAGTAGTGGGACAATTTAATTTTTTTTGCCTCTCATACAAAATTTTGCAGTAAATGTGAAACTGCAGTTTCAGTATGGTAAACTTTTGATATGAAGATTCTCAAAGCAGTCAAACTTGGTGGATGCAGTCAGTAGCTTTTGTAGTATTAGCATCAGCTTTCAGGGTTTTCTTACAGTCCCCATGATCTATATTCAGTGTTACCAATGCTTGTATTGTAATGATTCTTCTAGAACTTCCCCCCTGGTAATGCAGGAGCTTGGTGGGAGACAACCCACAATACAGGGTAGGAAAGTGCAATGACCAGATGTAACCAAACTGGTTAAAGTGCTCACTGAGAAAAGCTGGAGAGGTGCCCTTCCCTGTCAAATCCCTTCTTTAGGAACCTACTTCTTAAAAATAAATTAATCCTGGATTCAGGAGATACCACAGAAGTGCATTTTTTCTTTGGTGACAGCATTTATATTGGTCAAGGTGCTGTTCTTAAGGCTTTGCAGAAAGCACAGCACCCTTCAGATACTCCCAGGATAAATGGCTGGCTGTTGGACAGGAGACAAAATAATTGGCAGAATTTCTTTTTCAGCAGTTGTCTGTTTTTAACCTATTCTGGTACTTTTTTGTGATACTATTTTATATCAGTTACATAGTCTGCAGCAATTATTTTTTCCTAACTCTTAAAAACTGGGCTGATGGCTTTCTTGTAACCTGTATGTTTTGATATAGGTAATGGTCTTAGCATAAAATGCAGGGATTTGCATCACATCACAGCTCCCTTTTTCTGCCTGTATTCCACAAATTATTCTAATAAGGTTTCTAGAAATTCTATTCTAGAAATAAGACTTGATTTAGACACCCTACCAACCAGTAAAGAAACAGCTTGTACTCTGAGTTAAGTGAAAAATTCTTTATTGGAGGCTTGTACATGATAAGAAGATATTTTTGCTGCATGCTAGTGCAACATGTACAGAAGTAGAAATACATGCAAATGTCACGGCTTTGAGAGGGTTCTTAGTGGCAATACTAACTTCTAGGCTAGGCTTGCCAGTTAACTAATAAAACACTATTTTTTTTGATCCTGTTTGTCACTTCTAGAAGACAGATATTCTTGTGGTTCCTTCCTAAAGTAGTTTCTTAATGTACGTGGAGTGTAGAAAGCATGGAAGAATATTTGGTATCAATGGTGGAAACATGAAGTACAGCAGTAGTCTCTTAAGCATTAGATGAGTGCAGCAGTAACTTTCCCAGCTACAAGGAATAAAGAGGGAGAATTGCTTGCTTACGTAATAAATATGCATCAAAGCAAGCAAGAGTGTTATCAAGGAAGCCCAGCTTTCTCCTTGAACTATTAGGCCATCCTTTGGAATGGGAATTGAAAAGAGTAGTGAAATAACCTCGTTAAATCAATTCTAGGGCCAATTTCATAAGCACTTGAAATAAATCGGCCACATCACACTGCAAAAGTACACACAATTACAAAATTGTTGCTGGTAAGTGCAGTGCTTTCTGCAGACCTCTTTAGCTGTCATGATCCCACATAATCACAAATTCCATACGGAGTGGCTGGGAGATGATACAGAATGGCTTGCTGCACAGTCACTAACTTGTGTTTCAGCCTGGGTTTTGGACTGGAGAGAGAATAAGCACCAAACACTGGGCATTACAGCCCCTCGTGGAAGCTGGCCACCAAACAGTGTAACTGCACTGAGGACAGTAGGAATGCTTGGTGTTCCTTTTGGAGGCATTCATCTCTCATTAAGAAATGTCCGAAACTACAGAAACTGATCTGTTTTCAAAGATCGTTGGTCCTTTGCCACTGTGCTGTTTAAGGCATATTATCAGGTGCTGTACAGAAACAAAGCAGGAGGCACTCTTGGCCATCTGGCAGCAACTCCAATGTTAAATATTTGTAGTGGTGGGGAATGAGAACAATTACTCTCGCCTGTCTGCAAGGCTTTTACAACATAATTATTTCAAGCTTTCTGGTTCAGACAGACACAGCTGAAACTTGTTTACTTTGAGTATTTATGGATGCTCCTTATCCCCATTGCCCTATTCTTGCATGTTTTCACCTTTACCCTGTCATTGACAAGTGTTCTTCCTTTAATACTAACCAGTGTCCTCTCCTCCACAGAAAGGGCCCTCAGCAGGGACTGACAGAGTGAAGAAGGGTGGATCCTATATGTGCCATAAGGTAATATGGAAAGGCCTGTGGTACTTTCATATTCATCTTTCCTCTGAGAGTACCTGACTTGACAGTGAAATGATCTTCTGACAGTTTCCCAGCAGCCTGGCTGGTTGTTAAGGGGTTTTAAGCAATGTAAGGAAGAGCAATAGCTTATGTTGTTCAGGAATTCTTTTTGGTTAGCTTGGAATTCAAATGAACAAACAAACTGCTTTACCTGGTATGGTTTTTCAGATGTAGAAGTTAAAATTGATGTATGTGTCTAATGCTATTTTCATCATAGTGCTGGAGTGATACTTGTAAGATTAGTACTTGTAAGCTGTATGGATGTGACATTTTTAGTTTTAGAAGGACTCTTGGTTCAGGAAGGGTATCAGGTGTTTGCATAAATATTGCTGGGAGATGAATGTTTCAACTTAGTTGACAGCGGACTTGTAATTCTTTCTGAAAAGTCTGGATACCACCACAGTGCAATAGCCGTTCATGACACAAATCATGTTTTAAACTCTGTTCACACGGTCCTTGAAAAAATGTTCATTGTAGATCTCTTTCATTAAAGCTGTCCTGTTCTTCTTTCCTTCAAAGCCTGCAGCTGGCAAATCATTCTCATAATTAGATTAAATTTTCCATAGTGAGATCCCATTTTCTACACTGATTTCCTTCTTAGGTGAAATCAATGTCAGATGTTAATTAGCAGTTTTGATTAAATTAACACTGGAATAGACTCTTCAGTGATGAATAATGTGACCCATTTTAAAGGCTTGTGCAGATTCTAGTCTGTCCTAGCCTTTTTTGTAGGTGATAAAACTAGGCTGTGTATCAAGACAAAAAAAAACCCCTGAATACTATTAGTACAAGGGCTCTTTATTAGGTGCCTAGTAATCTGTCTGTTCTACTGCTGTTCTACCTCAGAGCTGACAAAGACTGAAGTTTGTACCTTTTAACACGCACGCTCAGGAGCTACTTTTATTTTCAAAATAGTTCAGCTTCTAAATCCTGCAATGTTCTGTTGAGATCGCAGCAGTGGGCACTGTTCTTTGAGGGCAAAAGTTGGCACCTCCTTAGAGATACCGTTAACTCACGGAGATAAATACCAGTGACCTGCTGCCTGTGTGGGGATGGTGTGGTTCATGGTGCTGTTCCTCTGATGATAGAGCGGTTGTCACCACCTTTGCCATTGTATGGATTGAACTGCTTAGTATCTGTGCCCAGAATCCTGGAGGAATCTGGGTTTAAAGAAGAAAAACTACCCTCTCCTCCTTGCTCTCCTCTGCTCCCACCTGCCCCAGAAAAAGGCAGGGTAGGGGGTAGGGAAGAAGTGTTTGATTTTTAACCCAGCCATCCCAGAAGTCTGGTTCAGAGCCTGCATGGATGTATTATTAGTCAATACTCATGTCATCAGACACTTGGCCACTCAGTGCCTTCTGTATCAGATGGAGCTTGTCTCTGTATACAGTGGGATTTCCCTTATTTCTGGCAGTGATTTCGATCTGTATCTGAATCTGTACTGATCTCTTCATTGATCTTGCCAACAGCATTTGAAATGTTTTGCCATATTAATCTAACAAACTTTTGCCCAAGGAAACACAAGCTGGGATGTGCTCTGAAGTTCTCTTTCCTCTCTTTCTCTCCAGTCGTACTGCTATAGATACCGCTGTGCAGCCCGCAGTCAAAACACTCCTGACAGCTCTGCTTCAAATCTGGGTTTCCGCTGTGCAGCAGACACTGTGCCGGAGCTACAGTGACCGGGTGAGCTGGTGCACTGAGATGTGAAGGGCTGAATTTCACCCAAGGAAGAAGAGATGTGTGGAGTGCCACTTGCTGATGACACAGAGTAGAAAAATCTAGTGCTTAAAAAAAAAAAAGAATCCAATGCTACCCAGCATTGCTTGAAGAACCTTCATGTATTTATCCTTGGGGAACCTGGCCTGGAATTCTATCCTGACCAAACTTTTTATCGGTGAATTCTGTTGGTTTTAGCGAGACAATTATGGAGTTAACCAGCACAGAACTGAGCAGAAATATGTTGATTGTGTTTAAAAGGTTAATTAATAGCTCCTTTAATAAAGATCTTTATTTAATAGTTTTATTTATATATTTTGAATTTCTACACTGTCATCTAATAAACAAGGACTTTGTAAAATCCTAGACAGCTTTAAAAGAAAATTGAATGAGTTAAGAAGAGGTCAGGACTGGAAGACAGGCTATGCACACAGGCAGTTAGTGCAGCCCTTGCACTACATTTCTGTTGCATTTAAAATCGGGTCCAGAAATGTGCTTTTTCTGGTGAGATATTGCTCCTCTTTAGAAAGTGCCTTCTGCAACTGAGGGATGATAATCCTCAGGATGATGATGATTAGAAGTGATGTACATACTGGAATAAAATTTCAAGCATTTGTTTATGATGAAGACTTTTATTGCTAGAAAAACACTGTCAATTTCCTTTGAATTTCTCTTGGACATGGTGTGGGCTTGTTTTGGGGACTTGCAGCTTGCAAAAATGGCATCATTAGAAACTGAAGCTGATAAATGATTCCACTTGAATAAAAGATCATTAAAGTGTAAAGATGGCAGATATAACTGTGAGCCCTAGGGCCTAATAAGGTAAATTTTGAAACAGTTTTCTCTGGTTTAAAAAAAAAGAAATCCCACTTAAAAGGAGAGGAATTTTAGCAAGGAGGGAGGGAAATGGGAATAACGAGAGCTACCTCATTTTGAGATCTGAATGTATTTCAGGCCTTTCACAATGTATTTTGCACTGTCACTCTCTCCAGGACATGGTATCTGGTAATAATTTCTGTGCCAGCCAATTGCTTGCTCTAAGTGGAGGCTAAACAAGGAATTGCCTATGTGGGAGGCTGCGCACCAGAACACTGTCCTTCCAAACATGTCGCAGGCAGCTGTGTTGCTGCCCACTAACAGGCCCCTTTACTGCCTGTGTGTAAAACAGGGATTGAACTGTGCCATCTTCTCAGCTGCTTTGAGACCTAAAGGTGAAAAATATGTTGGATTAACAAAAATTTTGGCATTGATGCCTGTTTTTCCCAGCATTGTCTTCTCTATATTAAGTTGGGTTTGGGTTTAATACAACCTGGGGTTAATACAAATCCATCGCTTGCCAGCACCTTCTCCACTTGGTGTTTCATGTTGAAAAGAAGATACTGGAGAATGTCTGGGGAGTCTGTCAACAAACACCAGCCTCCAGCGGGGGGTCAAGGTAATTCTAGCAAGCAGAAAAAAATTATTCCAGAATACACCACTATGGCTTAGCACTCAAATAAGCATGATAAAAGCTATGGTAAATATTTTGTGTAGTGAAGACTGTCTTACCAGCATTAAATGTTTAATTAATATCTATGCATTAAATACATCTATTTTACTAAGAGGGAAAGATTCTATATTTCTTTCTGCCATTCCAGAAGGAATATACTTTAGAAAAGATTTTGCCTAGAGCTGGTTTTGTGTTTTTATCCTGGAAAAAATCCTTGGTAAAAATACACAATTCTATATATTGGAAAAGTCTTATGACTATTTAAATATAAAGAGCTTCATGATGCCACACCATCAGGTAGATCAGTTGATACTTGTGTTGCGGGTGGCACGTGGGGAAAATTCTTTTCTTTTCTGGAGAGGGTGGAATGTGTCCCATTCATGCTGCTTGTGTTTGGATAATGGTTACTGTGTTTTATTACAAGATTTTTCATTAAACATCCTTGAATATCTCATCAGATGGGAAAGTAAACCTCCAAGCTCAAGTGAGTGTTGAATATTGCAATAGTGATAATCATTACTGCACTTTGAGAGTAGAGAGGAGAAGGGAGGATTACACAGAGCTCCTGTTTTTTTGAGCTGTTTGATTGGATTCACTGTGAAACTGAACTGTGTTGGTAGACTGGGACTCGGTGAGGCTGAAAAGAACCCGAAGGAACAAGTGAACAGAAATACTGCAGGTAGAAACGAGGGACTATTTTCTTTTTTAGTCTCTTGTAAGGGGATTTTTTTTTTTTTCTTTTTAGCAGGGTTTTGCTCCACACCCCCAGGTAGCTGTAGTGCTAAGGCACACTGAAGTACAGTGCATGTGCTATATGGAAATGGTCGTTAACAATTGCGATTGTGGTTTAGAACTCAATGACAGTGTATTATTTCATGTTCTTGTAAGGCTGGCTGTTTTAACAGTATAAAACCCTCTTCTTGTTCTGTGCTGTGGAAGTTTCTTCTAACCAGGTAATTGATACTCGGTTCACCCGCTGGAAGCAGCATCAGCTGGCTGGGACTGGAAGGGTAGGATTGCGCAGAGACAGAAGGCTTGGCTGTGTTCTCTGGTTTAAGGCTGGTGATGCAAGGACTAGATATTGCTAATGGCGTTGGGGGGGTTGGGTTTTGGGGTTATTTGTTTTGAATCTACACTTCCTTAACTATTCAAAATCATGCCAAGTACATATTCATAACAGGAAGCTAACGAACAGTGCTGTCATCTTGAAAACCCATCTAATCTTCAGGAATAGGAATACAGCTGGTATAAAACTAGTCCTGAAACTTTTTCCAGGAGGGAAAGAGGAAGCAGATTGGATCATCCACTCCCAGCTCTCCAGTCCTGCAGGCTAAAAGTGGCTGGCGCAATGCCCTTTGGGGGAAGAAAACCAGATAAGCCTCTAAACAGCCTCTTGCAACCTAAGCTGTGCTCTGGTATCTAGTGCAGCCTGCATTCTGAGTTACGGGGTCTGGGGAGCTTCTCTTCTGCAGAAGCAGGCACCCTTAATCAGGTAAGGAGTAAAGTTAATGGCCACTCAGCTTGTAAATTACCTTTGACAAGCAGCTGAAATCCTTTGGAAGCTTTCTGTACTGACAGAATTGACACTTAATGACCCTAAGAAAAGCCACATGTCAATATTTATCTTAAACTAAAACTGCAGCTGTATGCAAATCCTAGCAGCAGTTCTTCATAATGGAAGCATGAAGATATATATTAAATGGGGAAAACCTAACACTGCTGTTTAGCAAGGAAGTATAGGTAAATACAAAGCAAGAATTTTTTTTAGCAAATAGCAAAATAAGAACAACAAAACATCCTTTATTCCTTGTCAGTACTGGGTTAATTTTTCCAGTCCAAATCAAAATTATCTTTTATTGAGGGGGATAAAAAAAAAGTTGCTGATGGTCTGCAGAACAGCAGATCCCCCCCTAAGATGTGCTACCTTGTGTGTGTGTGTTTTGTCAAAGGTTATGAATACAGTTAAAGATCAAATGGTACAGAGCAAATAACCCAGGGGCTTGTGCCACTGATGGTACGCTGGGGCGTGACTGTAAAAAGTCTCATTCTCTTCTGTAGTTCTCTGTGACATTTCTTGTTGTTACCACATGTCCTTTCTGTGTACCACTGTTGAAGTTCATTCTGTCTGAAAGGTACAAACTGAGAGAGCTGCTTTAACATACAGCAAGCACTCAGAAGAAAACAAGAAAAACCACCGGGCTTGGCTTAGTAACTAATTTTGGAACATCTTGAAGTGCCAGTGCTCTCTCATACCATCCGCCTTGAAAACAGGCTCCAGCATGCTGCATGAACTTATTCGCAAATTCTTGTTTTTTAGCTATTACTCAAAACCACACATGCTTCCCTGGTGGAATACATAATTGGAGTTTTAACTGCAATTTAACTACTAGAGAGAATTATATTTTTTAGGTGCGCTTAGGGACTGAAAGCTCTGGAGAGCTCCCCGAACAAGTGTCTGGTGTGGAAAAGAGGGAGCTGTCCCAAGGTAAGAAGGAAGCACATGTGCGGGAACCACAGTAGCAAGGTTTTCTCAATCTGTTATCTTCCTCTAAAGACTTTTGTTCTCTGTTGGTTATTGGTAAATTATGGAATCTTCCAGAATAATCATATGAAAGTTCCTCTCCAGCAGAAATATCAGTAGCTGCAAAAAGTGCCAGTTTAGGCACCATGGAGTCAACTCGAACTGGAACCATAAATAAATTCGGTTCACAAGAATGATTCAGGAATCTGCCTATGTTACCAATGTACGTGGGGTCAACAAATGTCTCCATGATCTGACCGTTATGGAGGTGCTCCCTCACCGCTATGATATAGTTTGAATCCTTTGATGTCTGGGCTTGAATTCTTCTACGTGCCTCATTGAAGCCTAAAACTTCACCAGCATATTCACAAACAAATCTTCCTTTAGCGATGAATTCCAGTGTGCGAACACCCCACCCTTTCTTCTCAGTCTTGAATACCTCAAGTCTGAATTGCAAACCCCTCTGAACAACCCTGTTTTGGCAGGATTCACCACACTGGCACATGGCATTGCATTCAAAAATAGGTCTGGCGTACTCCTCCTCTTTGTCTGTAGGCCTGAGGCACAAACTGTTGTAATTTTCACCGTGGCGAAGACACGAGCACACGTGAACCACACAGGAGCTGGTAAGACAAGAACATCCTGGAAAGGTGATTTCAGTGGGGTCAATGTCTCCATCTATTCCAGCCACATTGTCTGGACTATACTGCAAAGAGAACAAGAGTCAAATCCTTGTCACGTTCAATGCTTCTTTTCACAGATGCTACGGAATTTTTAAGAAGTCTGTGGCAACAGCTGATCTTTGAACTGAAATCATGAACACTTCATTTTTCCTGTAAACTTCTAACTACAAGTCTAACTTTTCTAAAACATTTTAAAGAATGCAAATCAGATATTCCATATAGACTGAAAAAAACTGATAGTCTGACAGTGCCTGAATTTCTCAAAATAGTCTACAAGCCAGAAAAAACAATTCTTAGTAGGAAAAACATGTCAGCTAATTTGGTCTAGTTTACCAGATATGATTTTTTAATAGATATAGCAAAGTATCTTTAAAGTCATTTCTTCTCCCCTTCAAAATGCTTGATATAAGCTATTTACAAGGTTAGTCTGTTTTAAGTCACAGAATGTCAAATGCCCATTTTTTGTTAAAAATGAATGTACTTTCAATTTGTCTCTTCTAAATGTTGCATTCAAACTTGCTCCTGATAATTCTGTTAGAAAGTGATGATGGTGTTGCACTAGCACACGTCTACATATTTATAGAAAAGCTGAGCTTTTGTTTGTTTTGATTGTCAGGGTAGAATGTGAGAAGGTATTTGCTTCACCCTAAATTCTGTCTGTGGGAACAGATGTGGTTCAGTTCAAGCAAACCACGTTGAAAATCAGGTTTTCAAAATTACACTAATGCCCCCAGCAGGTGCATATTTATAGAACCCTGGATTGTTGCAAAATAAAAGCTGACAGAAACTTTGCTGGATTTGAAAACCAAAATATAAAGACAGCTACATCTGTATTTTTACTTTCTTCTCAACATTCAGCTTGCAAAGGCTTATTTGGAAACCCGGAGTGTGTGCTATTGCTAACTATTACATTTCATGGTATCTTATGTCTGGTACCTTCTGGGTGTTGGGAAACTTGCCCATTCATTCAGAAGGTTTTTTTTCATAAACATCATCTTTACTCACAACCCAGTTTAATAGTTCCTTATGGGTTCCCATCTTCTCCCCTTCACTGACTACAAGCTTTCCCGTTTCTGATAAATACCAGTACACCATGCAATTTAGGAAGATCAGGGTCTGTTTGGATTAGATCTTTCTTTTCTTCTCCCAGGCTTATTAGCAGCCACTTCATTCTAAAGACTCTAATGTGACTGCAGCAAGCTCCTAGGCAGAGGTGCACCTCCAGGACATGCGTTTGGAACTTACTACAAGTAACACAGCCGCAGCAGAAACTGGGCTGTGCCTGAGAAAGAATGAAAAACAGCTTAAAGGATCATCCCTTATTTCCAGATTGTACCTTTTCTGGTAAACTGCTTCAGATGGCTGTGCAGCGGGAAGCGTCTGCCAAGCCTGACTGATTAAGTTCACCCTACGGTGGGTGCTAACGCCCTGCAGCGCAAGGGCTTGATTCCTCCCAGAAGGTGACAACTGCGCGATTACAATCTACACAATGAAGATACCGAGAGAAAACTCCGTCTATATGGAACTGAAGGGAACGGCGAACGAGACCCCCACCCAGGGGCTGGTCCCGGCGGTGCACCCATCCCTACAGCCTCCTGCTGCGTGTCCCCCACGGCAGGGGACAGGCTGGCTGAGGGGAACAGGCTGGCTGAGGAGACGAGCTGCCGGAGAGGGGACAGGCTGCCTGAGGAGACGAGCTGCCCGAGGGGGGACAGGCTGCCTGAGGGGACGGCGCCGGTCGCTTCTCCCT